AAATAAATAATTATACTATAATGAAAAATTTATTTATTTATTTAATATTTTTAATATTAATTAATTTGCAAATTAAACAATAAATGAAAATAAATGTATTTAAATTAAATTTCATTGAATGAAATTAATTTAAAAATTGTTTAAAAGTATTGATGTGTGTAAATGAAAAGAAAAATATTGCATAACAGTTATTTTACTCTTGAAATCTTCAGTTGTTTTAAATAATGAATAATCAACAAAACAGCACTCATATTCAAATTACGAAAAGCAGAATAAAACAAAAATTCATGCTGAAGTTGATTGCTATGCAATAAAATGTATGCTTTATTAGGAGAAACTTTTAAATAAATTATAAAACTCAATATCTTTACTGAATTAACATTAAGAACTGGTTATATTTGCTTCAAATAAGTCATCGAGTATTAGATTTTTTGCACTTTAATTTAATAACTACCTTTATTAAATCATTGGCTATATTCTATTTATTTATTAAGAAAGACATGGAGCTCTAGCATTTAATGAAACATTTATTTACTCTCATGAATTAATGAATATATCCGTGTCAATAAATAAACGCTTAAAATATATCAATCTTCATACACAATGGATAAACACTTTGATAAAATTCAAAACAGTAAATTAATTTGTTCATACTTTATAAATGTATTCTTTTATTATAAAAATAAACTTATTATATTTAATTGAGTTCTCAAGATTTAAGCAGATTTTAATTGTAAAACTATTATTTACTAAGATTTCTTTAAAACATTTTGCTGATTGAGCTGGTTATTTAAATTTTATCACTGTTTGATCCTAAATTATTTATATAAGAATAATTAGAAGAATGTTATTAGATGGGAAATTATATATAAACTAAATAAATATGGAAAGGAGGAAATCTGTTCAAAAATTATTACTTTCACGTTGTTACTTCAGTTCTCGAATATAAAAATTGACAAGTGTATAGATAAGACCTTTAGCCCATAACAGACTTATGGCTATTTTACAAAGCAATCAAGCTGTTTTAGTAAAATAAATTCTCGACCGAATATTTAAATATAGACTATTACTCTATAAGTAAATTATAATCCAAAATTACCTAATTAAAGAAAATTAAATATTAAATAACATCTACAAAAATTTATAAAGCGTTTTGCTTAATATGATGGACTTACAATTCAAACGAACTGAATCGCTAATGGTTATCAGTATAAAAACATAAGACAATTAAAAAAAGTTATAAATAACAAACCTTAATTCAGGGAATAAAAGACAAAAAGAAGTGTGAAGTGTTAAATAATTGTCTTTTATTTGTTTCTCCTATTTGTCACGTTGCATATATTGGCGGATACTAGAATGATTAGCCTATGTGACAATATTACAAGAAGAGATTAAACTCCATTTCTAGTTGCCATAAATTCATCTAAAATGGATTATTTGAGTGTTGAGAACAGTTACTTAGATTCAATTGAACACAAATCCATCGTTTGAAGAGATATACACCATAACACTATTAAATATACTATTGAATGGCAAATCCTTTAGCTTAGTCTACATAATGCAATTATGATCATCGCAAGCATTTGCATATGGGTATCTAATAGCCTCGATTACAGAAGGATTTAAGGTATAATCTACCCTTGAATGATGCATAAATTGCCGATAAATATTTGAAGGATAAGTCATTTCTGAACACGGGCCTATGGATTAAAAAATATTTTATTTCAAAAATTAGCTGATGTTTGAAAATACTAGTACATAAAAATAATATTTAAATAAAATTTTAATACCATTGGTGGAAATAAATGTTTTCTGAATGTTATTTACATTCGTCGTTATTGAATGTTATTATCATTTTATCAATTAAAATATTAAATAAATTTGTAAAAAATCGATATAAATATTGAGATATGACGTTTGAATTTTTCATCAATTTAGGAGGTTTAATCACATACATAAAAATTGCTATATAAAAAAAGTGAAAGATAATCAAAGATATGTTAAAATTTAAATACATAGAAAAATAATAGTAAATATATTTTGATAAATAAAAAATGTTAAAATGTAATTAACATATTTTGTTTTCATGCGATCACTTTAATGATCTGTTAAAAAAATTATTCCCTTAATCTAGGTTTTGTATACTTGTTGTTTTTACATTAAAGAGTCTTAAGAAATTAAATCTTGAAGGGTGTCTAGTAGAGGTAAAATTGATTACCAGTTAGATATGTTTTGTTTAATTCTCAATAAAATTTTGGTCTAAGCAACAAACTGGAACAAAACAGCAAACACAAAATTGAAAGACACATATGCAGGTAACGTTTCTGCTCGCAATTGTAAAATGCCACAAACAACCTAATGTCCCTGACTACCCAGAAAAAAAGAAAAGTAAAAAAAAAGATTTTAATAATGAAAGCCAAGCATCACATTTGATTACTGAATTGAAGTTTTCTCCCATTTTTTATCTACAAAACTCCTCCATTGAATTCTCAAAGTTAAAAGCTTGTTACGAAAAAATGTGAAAGAATAAAAAATTTAAAGAAATACGACCTTACTAACCGATTAGAAATATAAGCAGGCTCTCAATTATGTTTCAAGGTAAACTGGCTAAATCTTCTATGTTGGATAGTCTAAATCCAAGCTTCGCTTTGGAAGGTCATCTTCAACTCAACCAAGTATTTCTCCACTGGTCAAATCGTGAAAATATTATTCGAGATAAGTTAATGCCTAGATTTGCAATTCTTTGAAATAAGGTCCTAACTATTAGAAATTTTTTTTATTCCGATCAATTTTTGAAAAAAATTACTTTTCCATAAATACTCAGAGAAATATCAAAGTTCCAGTAAATTTATTTATTGACCGGAAATACAAAATTGCATCACTTTTTTTTTAGATTAGTGTTAAGAGATATTAGTAAGAATGCTTAAAAAAATTGGAGCCTTGATGCATACTTGCAATCTGCAGACCATTAAAAAATTATAAAACTACAACCACCATTAAAAAAATATAAAAAATACAGAATTTAATAGTGTTTTGCCAGAATTTAAAATCAATATCAAAAATCATAAAAATTTTGAGAAAAGAACATCCTTAAGTTTCTAAAGAGGTATACTAATAAAAATATTTTAACGATCTTAAGACCTTAAAATCTATGCTAATAAAACTCATAAGAATCAATGTGTGTAACAAAGTTTTTATTAAAGAAATGAATACACAAAAAATGTTCCAGAAAAATTGTTCGCTAAAGGCTTAGACTTTTTACTTAATAATATTTAAGATACAGGATTACATGGATTATTAGAAATTTTAGGTTAGTTAATGTTTTCATTAATTGGAAAAGTCATTGATCAATATTTTACAATGAATTTTTAGTTTTAAAAAGCTTTTAAATTAATATTTTTATTTATTATTTAATATTAATATTAATTCATTTTTGTTCAGTATATCCATTTTAAGTAAATCTATTAATCCCATACAATTGTATTATTTTTGTTATGTCACATAAACTCAAAGATTAACATGAGCACGTTGACATAAGTTGGCCACGTTATAAAATTTGTATTTCCAAAGCTTTTAAAGCTTAAATTTTATTTATAATAATGATTTTAAAACATGTTTCTATAAAACTCAGTTATTTAAAATCAACAGTATAGGAAATAAAAAATATGTACTGAAGAGCAAAATTAATGGGGATATATTACTAACTCGCTTAAATGAAAAGTAAAATTAAATTCTTATACTATTATTGACGCCAGCGGTTCTTAATTATTTTTGATAATGTGCATAACTACAACTATATTAATTGGTGCAGTTTAATATGTATGGTGAAAGTTGGTGCCGATTAAAACTGTACTAATATTGTGCATTTTTTTATAGATACTATGGAAATAGATTTATTACGGATTGTTACCATGCGGATTATTAGATTAAATACCAACGAAGTTGCACGTAAGGGGAACAATTACTTGGTTATAACAAATTTAAAATATCAATTGGTCTCGAGCAACAGCATTAGGACAAATGATATTGAATAAAATTAATATTCATTTTGATGGTACGAGCTACTAATAATAGCTACTAATTTAATAACGTAAAGACAAAGGAAAAACCAAGAAATTATAATAAATAAAAAAGTCATTGAAATACTAATAAATAAAAGAGTCATTATTTTAGCTCAAATAATTGTATTTGAATTATTGTCTTCTATTATAATGATCTATCAAAATATCTTTAATATGATTTAACAACAATGTTAGAATTCTAAAAATCGGTAATTCCTTTACATAATAAGAATAAAATTAGCATATTTATGACTATACCTCAATGTTTTTTTTTGTATGCGCAGTATAAACTTTACGAAGTGACTGAATATGATGAAACATGCACTTTTCTTCGTAGAAAATGGCATTGCAAAGTTATGAGGAAAGCACAACACAGCCGATGTTATCTGAATGCTGCAGCGATATGTTATGGTATTTTTGCCTTAGCTATGCTATAATCTATGGCAAAAGTAGTTACTTAATTTATTGACTGATTCTCACTTTTACTTAGCATCCTTTAATTTAATGCAGCTTATTTTATAGTTAAAAATGTTTCCAAATACTTTAATATAAAGCATTTATATTCTAACAAAGCAGTAGGAATAGTTATATCAATTACGGTAAGAAAACTATTTTTGATGTTTTTATGTTACATAAAAAAAAAGAATATTCATGGAGTATTTTTTTAAGAAAATATGTAATAAAAAGGAATAATTTTTAGAACATTTTGCAAATATTTGCTGTATGTTTTTCGACCATTTTGTTTTGCATATATTACTATTATTATTATTGATGGTATCAAAAATATACTTTTCAAAATAGCCTGATCGATGCAAAAAAAATCCTAACTGAGTTATCTTTGAATTAATTTCTGCATGCTTCTCATTTACTTAGCTTAATACTACTAATACTTTTATTTAAAATTTGAAATTTAAAAGAAATAAATATGCCGTGAATTTAGCAAATTGAAATAAAATTAAACAAATATATACACACACATACATATAGAACACTTTGTGGATACGAAGCATATAGTTTTTACTTTTCAAATCTTTCGAACTTACAACTCACAAGGGAAACTAGGGAAGTGTGACTCGCCAATTTTGAAATAAACTAGTGGGATGTATGCAGGTGACGAACCTCCTAATGTTNAAAGAACAATAAAAAAATTTAATCCTGAAAGATATTAAAAGTTAAAGTAAACGCGACTTTCGTATAAAACTATTATTAGTGATTGCATTATTTAATCAAAAAACAAGAAAAAAAAGTGATTTTTGATCAACTCTAATAATTAAATTTGCACTTTTTAGCGCAACTTGGAATTACAGACGATGTTTGCAAAATGCAGTCAGAATCACCTGTTAGGTTAATTTTAAAAAAAAATTTACTTTACATTTTTTAAATTTTTTTTTTAAAAAACATTCCATATTAATTGGTGTATGTAATTGCAAATCAATTAATTAATTAATAATTAATTAACAATAAATTAATAATTAATCAACAATAAATTAATAATTAATTAATAATTAATTGATAATTAATTAATAATTAATAATTTTTTTATCAATTTATTAATTAGAAATTAATTAATTAGCAAATTAATTCCAAATTAATTGGAGTATGAGACAATTACCATAACTAATAGTCTGCATTGAAGTAATAAAATACCGATTTTTCTATATATTGAATTATTTTTTATCTCTCACAGGTTCTTCTATGAGCCGAAACGAATGTTAATAATTTTATTAATTAGCAAATTAATTAATTACAAATTAATTGGAGTATGAGACAATTACAATAACTAATAGTCTGCATTGAAGTAATAAAACACCGATTTTTCTATATATTGAATTATTTTTTATCTCTTACAGGACCTTCTATGAACCGAAACGAATGTTAATTATTTTATTAATTAGCAAATTAATTAATTATCCAATTAATTACAAATTAATTGGAGTATGAGATAATTACAATAACTATTAGTCTGCATTGAAGTAATAAAATGCCGATTTTTCTATATATTGAATTATTTTTTATCTCTCACAGAACCTTCTATGGGCCGAAACGAATGTTGCCCCCTAAAATTATTCCTCATNTATATATATATAATATATCGCACATAAAAATGTGTATTGATTTATAAAGCTAAATTCACACACTTCAATCAATAATTAACGATATCAAGATCTTCGTTATTTTGAATTATGATCATGCATATGAATCCTTATTATTAGAAGATAATCGTAATTATTTGTTTTTGCACAGTTCCACCGTCCATTGTAGAGGATGAGACGAGCACTGATACTGTTGTAGAAGAGAGAGCGAAAGTGAGTCTTCGTTGCGGAGCTTCTGGATATCCAGCTCCTCAGATATCGTGGAGGAGAGAAAACTCAAAAGATATAAATCTGGGCCCTGTCGGCAACACCAGGAACATAGGTAAAGAATTCCCACTAATCCTTCTTCTTTCTATGATAAATGTCTGAACTAGCCAAGAAAATTTCTCTTTCACATGCAATCGATATTTTAAATTATGAATTTTGCAGTTGATGGATCACTTTGTTCCCTTTTAATACTATTTATTTATTGGAATAAATCCAGTTTATTTTAATTAATTTAACAATCAATTTGGGCATTTTTCTAATAGAGACTTTTATATATTTTTGAGTTTCTCACGTATTTTCCCGTGGACCATTTCAACTAAATCTGAAAATATATTTAGAAATGTTTCAAATGTAAATATTATCTCATTTTTTGCAATGAATTGTATTCAATTTTATGAATTGCATTCGATTTTTTGCAATGAATTGTATGTTGTTTTTTTATAGTCAATTACTATATTAAAATGAATTACAATATTTAAATTAATTATTATATTAACTCTGACGCGATGCTGGCAAAATTGTTCGATGCGATAATAAGTATCGTTTATGGTTATTACGTTACAGATATTTATGACTGCATTGACTGACTGTTAACTTTTTCTCACTGCTCTTATATTTTCAGCGCCTTTTAAAATTTTGGAAATATTTATTAATATTTACATAAACAATGCAATCAATCAGTATTTGTTTTAAAATAAACGTTTTGATCCTAATTATCTTAATATTACATTAAATAATTTAAAGCAAGATAAAATAAGATCTTGGAACTCATCATGCATTTTATCATAAATCACTCTAATGTTATCCTCTTAAACAGCATGTAATATCCATTTTTATTTTTCGAACAATTTCTGAATTATTAAACTTTTGAAGAAAATTTTAAAAAATTTGAGAAAATTAAGATAGTGAGAAATTTTTATAGTCGATTCAATCTGGATATTTTTGATATTTTAAACTGTTTAACGTCACCCGTGTCTGCTTTTTAACAGCAAAACGTATATTACATGCAAAGATTTCTTTACTTACAGACAACGCAGCTTGCTTTCAAAATTTCCTTGATTATTAAATTTGGTTGTAGAGTCTTTATCAGGTATTTACAGAAATTAAACGAATAAGTGCTTATTAAGTTTTTAAGACTTTTAATGTTTGTTATTTTTAAGATAAAGGAAAATCAATAGAACGAATACCTCCCCAAAACAACTGTTAACAAAGAAACATATTGGTAGCTCTTTTTTCACTTTTAAACTTGAGCTAATTTTTAAATTAGTTATTTTTATACGCATTTTCCTTAACGAAGATAAAAAGTCGCATTTTATTTTTAAATAAAAATTTCTTAAAAAATTACGTAAAGACTTACTGGAAAAGAATGTATGATGGATATTGCAATCAACATTTTTTTAGTTTTGAACTACATTTCATTCCATTAAAATACATAATTTACTGCTGTTGGAATTCAGATGAATTTAATCTTTATTTTATTATTTTGTGTAAGTAATTAAGGGAAATTAGTTTAAAAGTTTCTCTATTTTGAGATTTTGGTATAACAAGTAGAAATATTTTATTGCCATAATTATTTCTAATATTCATTTATATGAGTTGTCTAATTAGTAAAATATAAAAAATAAATCTCGTAATTCTCAAGATACAATATGTAGCATATCTTACTCATTGAACTGTTCAAAAATCCAACATAGACTAATAAATTTTAATTAACTATTAACATTAACAATTAAATCATTTAAAAACATTTATTAAATACTTTTTTTGTACTCAGTAATTTTTTCAACAGATTTATTATGGTAGCATTAAAAATTAATTTAAATAACAATCCTAAATTATTAATCATAAATCATAATTTTGAGAAAAATATTAAGTAGTTTATTTTAATCAAGTATATATATAATTAATTTTATATACATTTACAGATTTTAAAAGAAACTATTGAGTTTAAAATTAAAAATAAGGACATTTTACACAAATTAGTACCAATTTTTTTCTTTAAATGAGCTAATGAAAAGTGAAAAATGAAGTATGTTCTCCTTAAACATTTAATTTTAATAATTAAATTAGTTTCATTTTGAAAGAATATTTTTTTACCTTTAAAATAATACTTCTCAATGCAAATTTTGTTTAGATGCCATTCATCAAATACATTAACTAATAATGACTTTTTTAAATGACGCTAATGTTCAATTTACTTCGATATTAAGGAATATAATTTATTTTTATGTATATTTCGACTTTACAATTTAATTAGTGATAATTTAAAAATATTTTCCTTCAATTACAAGTTCTGGTTATTTGTTATTGTGTTAGCTCATCGAATATATTATTACTAAAATTAACATTTTAATTGTTATATTTAACACAGCTTTGTTTAAATTTTGTTTTTAGAACTAAATTAAGCAAAAAGTGTAAATATTAGATTAATTAAAATGTAATTTATGAAGTTGATGTTTGAATAACTGATGCTTTATCAACGCAGCGTTTTATAAAAAATTTATAACATTATTGAATTCTTGCTAGGAGTTATTATTATGAAATAAATAACTTATGTATGTAAAGATTAAACACTGAAATAACCATACTTTTTTGCTTCGTTTTGTGACTGAAATTTAAAATTTCACATTAAGCCTCCTTAAAACAACTTAATATTTTAATAGAACAGTTTTACCCACATTCAATTAAAATTCATTAAATGAATTATGTTGTTTTTATGAACAAAAATTTGATATTTAAATGCCAAAATTTTTTAAAAAGTTAACTCTAAAAAGCTCTTCCTTTTCTTTCTCTAATGACTTAGAAAAGTATTAAATTCAAGTATTCGGAACAATATTATATGTCTGCCATTTGAATAATAGACATTTCATATATTAATCTATTTAAATAATAGACATTTCTATAGATTTTTGATAACATTTGAATTATTTTGCTGAAATTTGAATTAACGCAGAATTACATTTTTTAAAATATAGTCATTGAAATTTTCCAAGTAAGAAAAACTAAGAAATCGTTAATATTTAGAGTAATCTAATTATATAATAGAGATTTCTAATGTAGTTATCTAATTGTTTTTTAATCCGAACGAATAATAAATATTAATAAATAACATCTTAAGTTCTATGATCTTTGATCAAGGTTTGCCATAATACACGGGAGTTTGAAATTGCCCGTTATTAGTTCCAAATAAGAAATAATTTAAATTTTATAACCTCCACTTCATGATCATTGACTAGATTTTTGATGAGCTTAATTTGTGATTGATGAGCTGTTTCTTGATTTAGCAGATCACAACTAATCCTACAAATCTCTCTTAGTTAATCATTTAAAATAATCCATATTTTTATTAAACTTTATGGAGTAAAAAAAAGATCTAATTGCCTGGTACTCTTCCATTAAAACACGAACATACTTATGTAGTGTTTTCAGACGTGTCTGTCTCAATGTGATTAAAATATATTATTATGACTGAAAACATTTAGATCCATTATGTATCCTAGAGAAGATTTACTTCAGATTCGAGGAGATTCAAAACCTGAAAAACCTTAATTTTAGGAAAAAGAATCGAATAGATTTTATTTTTCATTCAATCCTAATTTCTTTCTCGAAATTACATATGTGGAAGTCTGTGTTTTAATATTAAACCTCATATTTACTAAGAATAATAGAAATAATACGATAAATTTGATTTCCTTTTCAAAAACTTAAAGAAATTCCGACAATACTCAACGAAATACATTTGCAAAAATAATTGTTTTCGCATTGATCCTCAGATTTTCCCTGAACATCAAACATTTAGGTAATATTTTCATTTCCCTTTGAAAAACTAAAGGAATACCTACTTTTTTTCTTGGAAACTACATTGACAAAAGTATCTATTTTCCTAATAAATCTCATATTTATCCAGAAAAAGAATAAATTGAAGGAAAACAAAACTATAAGGAATTAGAAAAAATCTGTTATCAGTAAAAATGTTGATAGAAACAAGAATGTCTGAGATATTGGGTACCCTGTGCTTTAAAGTTATATGCTTCCGATGTCATATAGAGGGCGTTTGGCAATAGCATTTAATTTTTTATAGATATTATAAGGCATTGGTAATAATCTACGTATGATTCTGACATTAATGTATTTTGGTTCTCTTTAATATTTTTGTATTTCGAATAAAAGTAAAAAGTAATATTGTCATATTGATAACCTTATTTTAGTTTGATTTCAAACACAATTTTGACTCTAACTGCAATTCTACTTTATCGAAATACAAATAAGAGGATATGTATTGACTATTGATTAGAACAACGAAAAGAGCAATACATAAATTCGACACTTTATCATTTTGAAACATATTTTTTAGCAATTAAACAATGTATGATTGCTACAAAAATAATAACATTCCAATAGTGAATTAAAATCATTCCTTTATTTCTGAAAACATTCCATTTTAGAAATTACTAATTCAGAAAATAAATTTTTCAACCGATTCTGATGCATAAAAAAACAATATTGCCACTGTATAGGGAAATAGATAAAGTAAGCATTTACACATTAATTTAACTATCATTTAAGCATTTACGCATTAATTTAACGATTGAGTTAAATTGTAAATAACTTCGAACAACTTTTGCATTTGCAATTTTAAACTATGAATATTAAAATTTTAAATTTGAATAATACATACTATTGAAAACCTTCAGTTTGTAAAATTTGTAACTGAATATTTATTTAAATACATCGTTTACTTGCCAAAATCGAATATCGTTGTAAGTTTTATTGTCATTGCCGAAGAATTTTGTTAATAATTTATTAAAGTAAATATAATGTGCGTTAAAGCAAATCTATGAATATCTTTCTAAAAGTGTAATGTTTCTTAGAATTAATCATGTTAAATAAAGTATTTCAAATAATTTTTTATCCTAATCTTAATTTATTTTTCATAAATATATATCCTTACATATCTTTTCTGAGATTAATAGCCGAGCATTTTCAAAGTAAACATAAAAGATCACGAGAGAGCTCATTTGAATAATTCGTTACCCTTTAATTTAATTACTTAACATTTTGTCATTTATTTTAATTAGAAAAGGAAAAAGAGTCAAAGTAACATATTTAATATTTAAATGTCTAGTAAAAATATCTTATATATTTTAATAAGACAAAATTATCTTGATAAAGATACATGAAAAATATGCGTACTTCTTTTGAAAAATGCCTAATAGCTAATGCAATTATAACTCTTATTAAATCAAAAATAATAAAGATTTCTGTATATAAATAATGGTAGGTCTTAATTGTATTTAGGGTTAAATAATTAACAAGGAAATATTTATAAAATTTATGACCAATACAATTAGAATTTTTATAAAGAACATTTTTAATATGTTTGAGGGCACTTTACTATTGAGGATACTTTAATTTGAGTTTTCTTTTTTTCTTTGAAAAATAAGCAATTGTTGGAATGTAAATGTTCATACAGTTGGAATTTTCATTTTTTATTTGAAATATAGATTTAAAATAATTACTCATTTAATTCGATTGAAAAAAATGTGGTTCGAGATATCAAAATATGGTAAAATTTACCGTGTAATCTACCCAGTGGGAACACCAAAAAGCCTAGTTATTTTCGGGGACGTCTTTTTGTAATGATTTTGGTGAAATTAGCAATAAAATAGGATTTTATAATCTGATATAAAATTTGGTAATTTTAGCAAGAGAGCTCAAAGCACAGCACGAAAACAATTTAGTCCGTTAAATTTACTTTTCAGTTTAGTATGTTTTGCTAAATATGTGGTAATAAGAACTATAATTTTGAAAACCAGAGTTTCCCCAAAACTATTATCTTAGGAATGGGAAAACTACCTTATAAGTAGTTTAAATACCGTATATTTTGGTTTTTAATACCAGAATTATTATATTTCAATCATGTCTACATTTGAAACTTATGATTTGCAAGTTCATTTTTCAAGAAAAACATTACAAATACATTATTTTATATATTTCACTAGTGTCTTAAATCAGAAACTTGTAAACTTATCTATCCACAATATTGTCTTTTTAAAAATAATATTCTTGAAAAATTTACCTTGTTTCTGCCTACATTCTTTAAAGTAATTAAACAGTCGGAAAAAAAATAAAGTTTCTATTTATTATCTTGGAAAAACTTTCATTCAAACGAAAATGAAATATATATATATATATATATATATATAATTCTTTTCTTCTGTAATCATTTTACTTTTGTAATCTTAACTTTCCTTTTTTAATTTCACTAAAATTATAAATTATAGTTGATGNATATAGGAAGAAATATCGTAAAAAGTATACAGACAAAATCAAGGAATGTTTCTTTTTAATCATTCTTGTTAAATTAAGTTTTATTTTCTATTTCGTAAATTCTACCGTCTATATTATTCAAAAGTTTTAAAGGTCTAACATAGTTCTGAGAACAAATCTTAAAAGTTATTTAAATTTGAAATATCTGCGTATAACTATTGACCGACAGGTAATAGAAATCAAATATAACTCAAACATAAACTATTGTAAAGTAAAATAATTTTGTAATCAAATAATCATACATTTGAAACCTTAAAAAAATCCATCTATTGCGACTTAACTAACAAATATATATAACTATATTGTTTTTCCTTCTAGTGCAAAGAGTAGAAGGTGAATATTTGAACCTTACCCAAGTAAATCGGGAAGATATGGGTGCTTATCTGTGCATTGCTAAAAATGGTATTCCTCCTTCTGTAAGCAAAAGAATTCTTTTGCAAATAAACTGTAAGTAATATATGTTTTTTTTAATTCATTTAACAGATGCTCGATTTGAATTATTCTTACGAATGAATTATTCATCAGAAATAACGTTTTTTATTCACGATCATTGAAATAATTTTGTGTAAGATCCCAGGTCACGCAAAGAAATAACGGAACTTCTGATGTTACTGTGCTCAGCAAAGCACACACAGAGTTTACCAAACAATCTCTTTCTTGATTCAATATTAAAAAAATTGCTCAGTAAAATTCTAATTCCATAGCAGCAAAATGGTTAAAAAAATGAAGCAAATAACAAATTGCAAACTGTTTATCATGACATACAGCACTAACAAACTTAACATTTTCCATAAGCCTAAAATACTCTGCTCTAACCAATTAAAGGATATTGTAAGTCTTGTATGAAATAACGGTATAAGCAATTTATATCTCTTTTTCGTGTGCATAAAATAGAAAAAGAGAGTCCCCTATGCAAATTTTTCTTACGTTCAAACTTTGAAGCATGTAAATTTTAAGTTTTACGTCGAAGGCGACGCTTTAGCCGCAGAGAATTTGATTTGGCTTTCACCTTAATTCAAGACAAAGTGGAAAATAATGATAGACACTCAGTAAGCACGCTGTTTCGATGATTTTGATGTCTCAAGGAAGTCAGATAACCGAATCAGAAGCTTGGAGAGTTGTTGGCTGGTTAGAGGGGAGCCAAACACAAGCTGAAGTAGCAGAAACTATTCGAGTTTCAAAAAGTGTTGCTTCCAGGATCTGGAACCGTTTTTTAGAGACTAGAGACTTAGGTCAAGGGCGTAGATGTGTAACAACGCCCAATGTATATTTAACGCTAATGTCTCGGAGACACCAAATATGAAAGAAAATCTTTTTCTACAACACCTTCGCCTGGCTACTGGCACCACAGTTTTGACACAAACTGTCCGAAACCACCTTCATTCTGTAGGTATGCTTACCAACCAATGGTGTCCTTCACGTTACCAGAAAGGCACCGTCACCCCCGCAGGTAGTGGGCAACAGAGCATATGAGCTGGGGGAGAAGAAATGACTCAATATTCTTTTCTCTAACGAGTCCCGTTTCTATCCTGATATTAGATGTATTTTCCTTGAGGGAACTAGGCATTAGAAATTACTCAGCGTTCGTTCACGAAAGTGTAAGATTTGGCGGAGGGGAAGTGATGGTCTATGGAGGCTGATGGTCTCGCCGATCTCCATATCATTCGAAATGGAGCTCCGACCGGTCGCCGATATAGGGGTGAGATCCTGAGGTCTATTGTAGTCCCTTAAGCTGCAGTAGAACATAATTACCTAGCCGCTCAATAATAACCTCATTGACTCGATGCCTCAAAGGTGTCCAACGCTGCTGACCGTCCGGGGAAAGAATACCCCCCTACAAAAAACGATTTTCTCTTAAGGAAACTTTTTTTTTGTTTTTCCCCTGTACGCAATTTTTTTTCCTTTTGAAACCAAATGTTCAATAAAAAGCATTTTTCAGCAAAACAAATGTTTGTCTCATCTAGCCTACTATGCCTGTCGATAATGTGTCAATGTTTCAAACGATTCTTTAGGTGTAAGATCAACCCGCAATATACTTTAATTGTTTTAAGCAGTGTACTTTTAAATCCACTGTTCATTGCTCAACAGATCACTGTTCACTGTTCATTCAATCAACCCATACCTTAATGTAAAGAAACGCTTTTTGTAACTCAGTACAAAAAATTTTGAATTCAGGCACAACACCATTTTGATATCTTCAACTAGTATATTTTTTTTTTGGTCGTGAGTGTGGTGACAGTACACCCTCGTACCTCATTGTAATTTATTTTTATTGATTAATAAAGTTTTGACTTTATAATAAAATCGGAATTTATGAATCTAATTATGCGCGCAATATTGTCACAAGTAGTGCTTGTGCCAAAAATCCCAAAACAACTAACTGATTAAATTCCTAATTGTGACGTGGTCAATGTTTTTTAGTGATTTACTTCATTAATTTTGGAGATATGGCGCAACATTAAGGTGCAATTAAGGTGCGAAACTTTATGTCCTCTGACCAAAACTATTAAAATTATATTTTCCGGACTACGGTATTTGCATATATTTTGAAGTCCAGAAATCCATTCGGCCGAAAAAAGACATGATTGTTAAAAAAAGTACGTTGTTTTTCTCTTATGACAAAACTTAATGCATCAAATACACTATTTAATTAGCATATTTAATGTTTGAACCTCGAAGAATCGAGTCCTAATAAAAGAAAATCGTATCATTCGATCAAAAGCTGTTGAAAGTGTTCGCTTTGTACACTAATCACTTTTATGAAAAAAAATAGATAAATGTTCTAGAACTGTTAGAAAACTCAAATATTTTAAGAATTTTAATTATTTATTAATCTGAGTAAGAACTCAGAAATACTCTATGCAGAATAAAATTTGTTTCTAAGATTTCGAAATTGAATTATGGATGAATAAAGCAGAAATATGCATTTTTTTATTTGAATATATGTTGGTTATTGGTTAAAAAATTAACAAATTTATAGCAATGTTAGCAATAATTTGTTGATATTTTAATTTTTTTTAATTTTCTTTCCTTAAATTTAATTGCATTATTTCCAAAGATATGAAAAAATGCACATTAAAATAGAATTATTAAAAAAAAGCACTTAATTTATTTTATTGAAAGTTTTCTTCATTTTAAATAACATTGACAGTTCACAGAAAAAAGTGAAAGGAAACTACAATTTGTTTTTTTTTTAAATAATGTAGTTTCATTTATTTAATTATTACATATACTCAGTTTCAGATTATAGTAAAAAGCAGAAATATTTTTTAATTATTTTTTCACATTTTTCTCCTCTAATTGATTATTAAATTAAATAAATGATTTTTGCATTATTTTTAGTCCAACCGAAGATCCGAGTGGCAAATCAAGTAGTTTACGCTGCCGGAGGAACAGAAGCAATTTTAGGTTGTCATTTGGAGGCGTCTCCTCGACCTTTGACGTCTTGGATTAGACACGATGAAGCTGTTCTTATAAGCAACAACAAATACGAAATACAAGAGATTGAAGATTCCTACAAGATTTTGATGCAATTAAAAATAAAAAATATATCCGATGATGATTTTGGACATTATAAATGTGTAGCGAAAAATACTTTCGGAGATAAAGAAGGATTTGTCAGATTGATTGGTATGATTGCTTTTGTAATTCATATTATTTATTGTAAGTTTTACAAATTTCATTTTGCCCACATAAATTACCAGCGTAAAAAATTATTTGAGTACTTCATACAACGCACTAAAGAAGGCTGCTAACTGAAAGAGTTAACGAGAAGCAAGATGGATAGGCTAATTCAAATACGTTCGCGTCAGAATGCGCGCATCCCCTCTTTGCTACATATCTCTTACTTCCCTCTCACTTTCTAAGTGCATTTTTCATCTAAAATTACCATATTTTATCCAATTGAGTCGGCTAAAGGTTTCAGCGTGTGTGTTTATCCGTCAAAATGGCATTCAGAAAAATTTTAAACATGCTTATTCCTTATATAAATCTGAATAAAACTATGTTTTTGATTTTCATTCATAGCACAGATATGTTAAGAATGCATTAAGAGAGATAGATTTAGAACATCGGATTTATGCAACAACTAATTATTAGTCATTTGCATGTCTCATTTGGAAAAAAAGGCGTATTGTTTCTTTATCATGTTATTATATCTGAAGTAATTCTTTTTATATTGTAAATGTTAAATTATTTTTGTATCATAGTAGAATTGGAAAAATGATCATTATGCTGAATAAATATAGGTATATATTACTTATATACCTATATTTATTCAATATAGGCATAAATATTCCTGCAACAGCTTTTTATGAAGCAGGCTCTAAAGGGGATTTAGGGTCCTTAATTTCATGGCGAATCTCCTAGAAAGGTGAACATAAGCAGCATAAACTCCCACCGTCTTTATTTGACATTACTGACATCCATCTGAAGTTGAACACGCTTTAAGTTGTCATTTAGAGTGGAACCCAAGTACTTAAAAATGAGAGTTCAGTACCTGAACCACTTTGATAACGTGGCTCTATTTACCGTTTTCTGAAATATAGAGAATTAAATATGCTTGTTTCCGGTAGTGACACTATATTAGATACACGTTAGCTGCATTAGTACATAAATAGATATATTAGATAAATAGACTTCACCATTTCGAAATTTTATTTTACATATTGATTAAACTTTTAATTTTATAATAAAGTTTTTTTTACACTGGCTCTATTGTGCTTATTTATTTTAAACTATATTTATAAAATCAAAATCAACTAACTTCTTAATGCAGAGAACAAGGAAAATTGAAAAAAAATAATAAATCAAGATTTAAAAATATGATTAAATAAAAAATTCTTCAATTATGAAAAAATATATCTGAATTTAAATTAAATATTACACTTGAATGATATAAAACGCGTAACTGAAACTCAAAGAAATGCATCATAAAGAGCACATATTTGAATCCTAAATCGTGATGTTATACTACTAAATATGCGCATATGTTTCAAAAAATTTAAATCAAAGGAAAATATTTTGGAAAAGTGTGTTTAATTCAAATGCCTGTTTCTTTATTTTAAAAGTAAACTTTATCATGTAATATTTTCAGAAATAGTGACAACAACAACTACCACTCTATCAACCCTTGCATACAAGATTTATGTGCCCGTACAAAGAGGTAAGGCTTGAAAATGTTTCTGAAGATTTTTTATCTAAATAATTTGCTAGATACTTCTGTATAATCAAGTTTCTTGTAATTCATTAGTGTACAATCAAGACTTTTCTAAATTATTAGTTAGATATTATTGTGTAATCAATATTTTTAATACTCAAAATAAATATTGAAAATTATTTTTCTTGCAGATTAAGCAAAATGTTTACTAAAATTATTATTTTGCCCTTAAGTAAATTTTTAATTAGTGTTTATAAGTGTCGGAGGAATGCAAATATATTTTAAATCTTATGTTGTTAAGTCTGTTATCTTATCTAATCTCATGTTGTTAACATTAGTTGATTTAAGCTGACTTTTATTCTAATATCGGGAAAAAAAAATTCTAAAGATTTCTATGCTTGTATACTATATTTATTTAGTATAAATACAAATACACTTCGTGTTTTAAATTTGAATTGCATGCAATTGTGATAGTATTTTTGTCCAAGATTAGAATTTACAAAACTTTTTTTAATATTAAAATAATTATCATATTCGAAAATGCTATATTAACATTTATTGATACTCGGTGAGCCAAATTTTGATAAAATTACAGAACTATATGGCAATGGCGTTTCTTGTGAAAAACCATCATTCTGGTCAATAATACCAAAATATACGTAGTTTTATAATGTTTTATAACCGTCGTTGTACATTGTCGTCGTTTATAACCAGCCTACCCGATTTTATGCGTTTACGACCACTAATGTTCAACTCCGTAGCCTTGAAATTTTGAACCCAATCCGGAAGACAAGGGAGCTCCTGAATCAAGTATTGGGAGAAATTTGCCCTCGTGGTAGACTTTTTGTTGGAGATAACCCGCATTTGCGTTACATGGAGAAGAAGACCACGAGAACCTCCCGCAGTTAGCCTGACGGCGTCAAGGAGACTCTAACTCATGATCCGTCTACCACTGAGGATATTTCTCGTCAGTACTGCGGTCAGTGCAAGTCGGATGCGGAAATGGTATCGACTCGGATTCGGACCCGTCTCGCCTCACTGGAGAAATCGCGGCTCAAATATACGTTGTTCAAAAATTTCATTTGATAATTTTTCCGTTCATATAGTAATTGCTTTCCAAAAATTCTGGTTCTTAAACTTATAGTTCATATAACCGTGCATATTGTAAATCATGCAAAACGGGAAAGTAAATTTAACCGAATAAATGGTTTCTATGGCATGCTGTAAAGTATCCCTATAAAATTACCATATTTTACTACACATTATAAAACCATATTTTATTGTTATTTTTTCAAAAATAATTTCCAAAACGCTTAGCTAAGAATTTCCGACTTTTTGACGTTCCCATAGAGAAAGAAACATGGTAAATTTTCTCACATTTTGGTGGTTTTTACCATACTTTTTTCAACTTTTTACAACTTCAAGTTTTTACCATACTTTACTTCAACAAGCACATGATAAAATAAATGACAATATTTTAAAGGTTTGCTATTTTTTTATGGTTTGTCTTTTCTTATGCTGAATACTTCCCTTGTATATTGCAAATATATTGCCGACATATATTCTAAATAATGCTATCCCATGAGGAACTTTTGAATACTTGCCATATTTTGGCAATATCGTTACATATTTTTGAGAAGAAAATTTAACAGGAGAAGGTCGAAATTTGAATCTTTATTTATAGCTAAGAAATTAGCTTATAACTTTATTTATAACTTTGATGCTTTTTCACACTTGTTTAACCATTTAATATTCAATATGATGAGAAAAACAGTCTCTTATTCATCTCTGTTGGGATGAACTATTTTAATTTTATCGTACAATGTGAGGGAATAGAAACGAACTGATTAAACAACTTTTTCATCTAAAAATATCTTTCACTTAACCATGTAAAAATAGGAGGCAATAATAGAATTTAAATTAATTAAAAAGCAAATTGTTTAAAAATTCAATTCAATTGCTTAAAATTGTTTAAAAATTCAAAACTTATTTAAAAATTAATAAGGGTTCATCATTTGCTCAGATTTTAAGTATTTGCATATTTTTTTCTTTCTTAATTCACATCGACATATAGAAAAATATTCCAGTTGAATTACCTAATTGCATGGCTATGACAATTCTGTTATAAAAGAATAATTGCATTCAATAAAGTCAAAACATACAATATTTAAACCCTTTATTAGGTGAATTTTCTGTTTATACAGAAATTTATTTGAAAATACTGGTTTTCAGACTTATTCTCTTATTGTGACATATTAAATAAAAAGTGTCAAAATTGAAAAATAAATTTGACCAAATAAATGGTTTTTGCGATATGCTCTAAGGCATCAAGATAAAATTTCCAACTTTTAAAACCTTTAACGAATTTAACACATATTTTAAAAGCATTTATCATTGTTAACTTTACTAAATTCATTATCAAAGTGCTTCGGTAAAAATTCTCGAGCATTCGTTATTCTTTTGAGTAATCAACATGGTAGATTTTACCGCTTCCTGGTAGTTTTAACTTTTTTTCTCCAATATATCGTCTTTTATTTAAGAGAAAAAGCATTATTTCTATATTACTTCAATAGGTAACTGAGTTTCGGCTGTTCAATAAATATCAATCTTATATATAATTTTATAACTTACCCTTCCCATGATTACATACTTCATAATTATTCAGCATTTTTTTTACTTAAAAAGAAATTAGTTTTATAATACATAACCGCTTCTAGTAGATTATAAACTATTTTATTCGACAATTTAAATATATTTCCCTAAGCACCCTGAAACTAAAGCATTAGTTACCGGTACTCTTAAAAATAATTCGAAATAATAAAATATAGGGTCGCAATTTACACACTTATCATACCGAAGTTGATGAGAAGATAAAGAAAAACTAATTAAAAAAGAGATATCTACGGTAAACATTGAATATTTGTTTGCTGTGTTATGCATCGTTGTTAAAATTATAAGGATATATATATATGAAAANATATAGATAGATATATAGATAGATAGATAGATAGATAAATAGATAGATATATTAGATATATTAGATATATATTAAAACAAGAATATTTCAAACTTTAAGAGGAGTGTTTTCTCAAAATTGGCTCAGAAACGTAAATAAAAAGAAAATAATTGCTGACTTGATCGCCTCGAAACTATAAATAAATTCGTAAAATGTCAATAAGTTTATTTCGAAGTTTTTGCAACCAAGAAGAAATCAAAAGCAGATTTGAACCATATTTGAGATATCCATTACAATTTAAATAATTTCGGTAAATATTAATAATCAAAATAGTTCTTTTATATATTTTCTGTGTTGTTTAGGTAACACTTTTTTCCTACATTGAGCATAATTAAAGAATTTTTTAAACACAATATGCATTGTGAAAAAAAATTCTGGTGAAATTACCATACTGTATGGTAATCGTATTTCTGGTTAAAGAAGACCGAAATACACGTTATTCAAAACATTCTTTCGCTAATTGTTCTGTTCATGTGGTTCATGTGTAGGTTTTCCAAAAATTCTGGTCTTCTCAATTGTAGGTTTTGTTATCACAATTAAAGTAACAAATAAAAAATTGGAAATTACATTTAATCGATCATGATAAAAATACCAAATGTTATCACACTACATATAACCATGTTGTCATTTTCACCAAAATTAATAATTGTAAATTTTTCCAAAATAATTACCGAGGCACTTCGGTAGGAATTTCCGAGCTGTTTGGTGATCCCATAGAGACAGAAGCACGGTAAATCTTGCGATATTTTGGTTGTTTAGAGAATTTCTTTTCTCAGTGGTTAAAAGAGCATGCAAACAGGTAGGATAAAAGTTCAAAATATTATAATTATTTTCTTTTACGATTTTAAAACAAAAAAAGTTCGAATGTCAGTATAAATAAAATAACCATAATGTTTTCATTGCGTATTATTATATATATTCAAATGATTTCCAGTAACAGTAAGTTTTATCACTGGTAACATTGGAATTTCTGGAAAGTCTGAGAAATCGTAAATTATTATTTTACAAGATATTTACATTATAACTTTAGCTGGAATGTAGTATTTTATAATTTGTGCTTGCTTGAAGCTGTTCAATTAATTGGTATTAAAATTATACTTGGACATAATAACGAATAGCTTTCTCTAACTATTCGTTATTATTCTATGCTTTATTTTAAAATATACCTAACTTAATAAATAATAGAGGTAGGAATAATAAAGATAATATAGTAATAGAATAATAATAGATTTCAACAAGGAATAGAGGAAGGAAATTTTTCGATAGGATTTGCTTGCTGTTTAAGAACCACGCACTCTATGGAAGTGAACGAACCAATTTAAAATTGAAACTTTTAGATAACTGTTTATAAATATGGCGGATATACAATTAAAACTGGGAGTTATTACTAATAACTTTCGGATTTAACACTAGCTGTAACGAACTGATCGCATTGACCAAACTTAAAGTAATCATTTCGCTTACCTTGTTAAACTTTTAATATTTCTTATATTTCAAAGAAAAAATATGAATATTACTCTATGCAATATTTTTTCCCCTTGGACAAATATTTTTGGCAACCTTGAAGAATTATTTTGTTGTCCAAAGAATAATGTCCCTGTTGAAGCTCGTTTTCGCCGCAGATTGATAATAACTTGTGAATAATAGACGTTAACCACGTTGAAAATTGACGTTAATTTAGACGTTAAAAATTGTTTTTGCGGTATTTTTAATACTTTTGGATATTCTCGGATTGTAGAGAAGCAATCACAAGTGTCTCCAAATTTCGTAATACGGGACAAATAAAGAGGGTGGAAGTCTAAATTTCTGAGATTTACAATGCTGATCTCCTTTGTTATCATGTTAATGAGCACGTTTCTTAAGTATTAAATATTTGGACTTTCAATTTCCAAAAGCATGGCTAATTTAATTTCATCCAGTATAAACTCTGTATTTTAACCTGTATATTTTGTAAGCAGTGAATTTATGTCACATCGACTATTGAAATCCTAATTTAGAATGAAATGGCTAAGATTTTTGAGATTTTTTGATGATAGTTTTGGTTTGTAAATTGAGCCTGATGAAAAGAAATATCGTACAATCAAAAATAGATCATTCGGACCAAAACTAGATTGCTACTTCTGAAAACTGCCGAAACCGATTCATGTTATGGAAGTAGTAGTTAAGTTAGTAGTAGTTAAGCTCTATAAAGTGGTTAATTTAGTAGTTAAGCTCTATAAAGTGGTAAAGGAGCTGTAATACGAAACTTAAAAACAACTAAATTGACTTAAAAGTCAAGAAATCAAAGAAAAGAAGCATAAAATTTATATATGAATTATGTATGCAGTATTTAATATATGAAGATTTATCTAACAAAATATCCAACTAACTTTAACTTTATCGCATGCAATTTTTTTAACTACTATTAATTCATATTTTAACATTTATGGTTTGATATGCCCTGTGATAATTGCTAAGCGTTAGGTAAGAACATTACTCCCTGGTGAATACTTATGAGCAGTTATAATAATATATGCAATAAATTAACAAAAGTTCGCACTTGCACTGGCATGCCGTATCTAAAATTGCGATTAAAAAATGCGAGTGAAATTACTATTACGCTACGTTGCTAATTTGTAGTCTTTTTTTATCAGTAGTTTATAATAATGGGACGTGTCATGCTGCTCGCACCATTTGCATGTGTGTCAAAGAGCATCATGATGAGTGCTTGACTGCTAAATTTTCTAACAAAACATTATTTTGGACAATATATGGTGTGATTTTATTACTAAAGTATATTGTTTTAGATTTGTTTGTTATTTATCTATATGTTTTTATCAAGGGATATCATTTGTTTAAATATATTTGGTCTCACCCTCGCTGATCAGAATTTCGATTCACAATGGATAGTCATAAGAAAAGCAATACATTTGATAGCATTAAATGTATTGCTTTTCCATATGTGTGTTAAATGTAAGCAACTAAAAAATTTTACACTATAAAAATGACTTTAGTATTTGAGTTTTGGAATTTTTAGTCCAAAATATATAAAAATTTATATAATCTAGAATATGTAGAATTATCAATTACCCTGAACCTCTCAACCTACCCGGAAAAAATGTAGGCAATTTCCGTACTTATATGGTAATGACATTTCTGGTAAAAAAAAATCTGGTAATAAAACAAAAATATGTGACATCTAAACCATTCAATTGCTAATATACTTATAGTTACGGTTGAAATTCGAGTTTTAAAAGTTATAGTTCAAATTACGATAACTTTAGTAAAAATACAAAACTGAAAAGCAATTTTAATCAAAAATATTCTCTTTATAACATGCTCTGAGGTATCTTGAAAATATAACTACATTTACTACCAAATAGCATGGTAATAAAACCTTATTTCATTTCTAATTTAACCAAAACTCATTACAAAAGTGCTTCCGTAAAAATTACCGTGATTTTTGGTGTTATATTTGGTGCCTATTGATACAGGGTAAATTTTACCATTTTCTGGTGGTTTAGTAGTCTGGTAGTCAGTGTAGCCAGAACAGTGAAATCTGCATGGCTCCACGTTCCTGTGAGTGCCTTCCTGAAAATTAGTGACACACTTTTTGTTCATCTGTCACTGGTCCCTGCTACGAAGAGTCGAAATAAGAATGGTACAAGTAAATCATCATAATTAAAAGTATTTAGGTGACAAAAACGATGATTCCAATTTTTTTATCTATAACAATTATCATTTGATCAAGTTCAAAAAATAGCATATTAACGTGAAAAAAATGACTATCAGATTAAATGACATTTTTATTTTCAATATTTTTATTCAAATGATTTGAATGCCATAATTTGTTTGTATGCATTACCGAAAAATATTAATATAAAATAATGTATTTTAATCTAGTTGTGACTGAAATGTATGTTGCTCAAGATGGAACAACGGAAAACAAAAAGGAATTTGGGTCTCCTACAACGAATTCCTTAAGAGACGAATCGCAAGTCCTATCTTCAGGTGAGAAAACTGATTAAAAAAGTATTACATTTTACAATACTCAGATAAAAAATGAAAGGTACATATGATGAATAAATAACATTGCGTCTGTTGTAGATTGATAAAAAATACATATATAATATTAAATATGTGGACAATATACTGGAAATGATCGTTTTGATTCCTAAAAAAACTTTTTTCATCCTCGGTGTTTCTTATTTCATTTCAAATTATTTTCTCAAAAATTAAAATAAATGTATCATATCATTTGTCAATATCAATATCATTTATACACTGTTTATAAAAACAAAATTTTTAGATGGACAGACATCATTTAATAAAATGTTCATAGTTGAATGAAGAAAACTTAAGCAATGGAAGAGAGTTGGCATCCACTAGCTTTCTTTGATGTTTTATTTAATCTGATGTTATTTCAATTTCTACTTTTATTGAAGTAACTGTTATGTAATTAATTTTTTCTTCTTTTCTAACTTTCTTTTTATACTTATTTCTCTACTTTACTCTAAAAATTTCTTGATGTACGAGAGTCAATAATGTTTCAAACGAGAACTTTTGTAAAGAAAAAGAAGAAAGACATAATTCAAACATTTATGAAAAATTTTATTTGATAATGACGCAATAGTACTAGCTAAAATTAATACTGATGTGTTTTAACACAATTAGTAAACAATTATTTTCGCTTTATATAAATTTATTAAAGATACCTCTTTATCCACAGGCAAGGAATATATTGATGCAGGTTTGTCTTTTTAATATATTTAAAAAGAAATCAGAAAAAATTAAAAATTAAAATAAATTTATAAATTATAAATAAATCTCTCATATTTTAAACACAATATTATTAAAAATATTATTTAATAAAAATTATTATTATTAATCATAATTTTTGAGAAATATTCACAAAAAATTTTCAAAATTTCAGGCGATGTTTATTTTAGTACATGTTTGCTTAAAAAATAAACCCCTGTTTTATGATTCTATAAGTTGATAAAATAAATGTTTTCATTCCAGAAGTCTTATAGATCAAGAATGCAATAAATATTTTTTTTCCTTTGGGGTATTTTCTAATTTAGCCTTTGTATAAGGTATTCCGACTTGAAGAAAATATAAAATTTTGACTGAAAGATAACGAAATAAATAAAACAAGTCATGTTATGAGTAAGATTTGCAATCAAAATACCTGACTACGGGAACATCAAGTAATTTATACATTAAAAATATGTTTTTTTTAATTATTTGAAATTATCTAGCATATTATAGGGCATGTAATTTTCCGACTAAAAATTTAATTTTTAAATAATTTTGATGACATTAGTATTTGAATAATAAAGCAATATTGAAAGATATTCGTCATATTTTGTTTAGATTCCCTTTGCTGTATTTTGGAGCTCATTAAAAATATGAAATAAAGCTAATTTTCAAAGTCACAAAAACATATTTTGGGGTTACATAACAATTACAGAATTGATGTATTTGCAAGTAAAATACGGCGAAAATGCATTTGTCAATTTGTCAATTATTTACATCATTCATTTATTCAACAATTATTTACATACGCTAAAATTAAATTTATTGCTGAAATTTTTTACGGTAGTTTAAAATGTCTAAATTTCACTTAGTCTATAACTTTAGAGCCATGCAACAGAACTGTTTTTAAGTTTATTCTTTAATTACATTTTCATTATATTTAAAATTTATATTAATTACAGAAAAAGTATTAAAACCTGGAAAAATCGAAAGCCGTATGGAAGAAGATAAGCACAGAACCACTGGAGAGCATCGAACTAAACACACCAAAAAAGCAAGTATGTGTCAAAATTTTATTTTAAAATACTTAAATGGTTGTGAAAAATATTTCGCCTCTTTAATTATGACAGATATTTTTTTCGACTTCGAGAATAAAAAACAACTATAACTAAATATTTATTCAAAAAACCCTTAAAAAGAATGAAATTTGTTTATCTGAACATTCTCCATTATAAAAAGAAAACTTTGTAACATATCTGAATATTTTACGGAATAATCAAAATAAAATTCTTTAAGTAGGTATTTAACTTCGTATTTATGACAATTCCTTCAAATTCATATTTTTTAATTATGATTGCTTTATTATTCTTTAAAAAGTAATAGAAATTTTTAACTAGAATTTTATTACAATAAGCATAGATGAAAGTGCATAAAATATTATGAAAACTGCGTCTTTTTCATTTTGATTAATGATGAAAATATAAGCAATTTCTCTATATCAATTTAAATTTTGAAACCAATTATTAATACCTAACACACTATATATCTATGCTCATTTTAAATAGTATCATGTATATTTTTGAATGACTTTATAAATTTATAGTTCACCTATAACTTATTATTTAAAAAACAATCTAAATAAAATAAATACGAAGGTCAATAGTAATATTCAAATGTAGAGCACATACGTATATTAAATTTAAATATATTGATTAATTTCGATTGCCACGAAGGAAATTAAAACAGTGATATCAAACAGAATAAAATATTAATGCTTACATATTTTCGACAGAGAGATTTTAAAGATTGCCAGTTTAGTTATCAGATATTAAAGAGTGTTAATGTTATTAACATTAATACTACTATGAAATGATATTAAATGCTATTATATGTCATAATAAATGCAATTATAGAATTATCCTAGTCGCACTTGCATACACAGTTATACCAATTTTCTCCACAATGTTAATAGTCATATTTAAAAATAAGAAAACACAACGCAATTATTTTAAAATTTTCTTCTCTTTTATTGATTTATTTTGTAACACTCCATCTCTCAGCATGTTTTTCGCTATTTTTTAAATTTATTTTATTCCTCCTCCTCAAAATTCAATATGTATATATATA